CATGATCATGTTTCAAACCTGTAAAACAAATGAAGATACAGTTCAAATAGATGTCCAACCGTCCAAAATAAGGCAGCCTAAATTTTTATAAAGATCCAACATTTAGAATTCTTAAGATTTTGTTTCCTTTTTTATTTAAAGGTTTAGATATTGGACATTTTTATTGTCAATTTCACGAACTATTTAAAGACAAACATATAATCTTTCAAGTTAATAATAAAAGAAGTTCTATTATTTTTTTTTATCTAATTCATAGTAATATATTGGACCTTCTATAACTAGTAACTTCTTTGGAGCAAAATAGTTTGTGTTATTCATTGACAATTATACTCTTGTCACATAGAATTTTTGCCTCAAACATAAGTCCGAAGTCAGCACCATCCTCTCAAACTCTTTTGCTCAATGATTAAATCATTATCGAAAAACTTTAAGGTCAACAACGCTCAAGACATTTTCAATCAAAATGTCCCCCCATTTTTTTAAAACATAAGTCCGAAGTCAGCACCATCCTCTCAAACTCTTTTGCTCAATGATTAAATCATTATCGAAAAACTTTAAGGTCAACAACGCTCAAGACATTTTCAATCAAAATGTCCCCCCATTTTTTAATAAAATGACTATCTTCTTGAAATCACCCAAGCCTTTCTGTTTAAGGAAAACATACCTAAATCCTTTTGGAAGTAAGTTGTATTTGCAGCTAATATCACAAACTGGTTACCTTTCAGAGTTTCGGGATTTAAAGCCCAATGAATATTCTCTATATACTACCCTAACATACACATAATAAACTATCTTGTCTGCAGGATATTCAGGTACGCCATTTGTCCATGTTAAAAATCCTATTTAGGGGAAATTAGATCCAAGGGCATTATAATGTCTTTCTTGGATACTCATCAACTAAGAAAGTATATGAGTGTTACCATCCTTTCTGGAGAAAGTTCTATGTCAAGATGGATGCCACTTTCTATAAGCATAACTTGACTTTCCTTATCCTTATCTTCAAAAAAAAAAATAAGGATCTTGTATTGCACTTGCCAGCGCTACCTCTGTTTAACCTAGAGTACTTACCTTGTTACTCTTGAGTCAAAACCTGGGTTCACAGGAGGAGATAACAGATTCTGCCCTTGAGAATGTGAGATTTGGCAAAAGCAAGGTGTTTTCAAGAGGGTAAACATTCTGGAATCTCTGTTGAGTTCCGGAATCAACCCAAATCTTTAGAATGATGTAACAATATATGATTCTTCATTGCAAGATAAAGCTGAATTTCATGTGAATAACAATGAACAGGACCTTATTGCTGTTAGGAAAGGGACTAGAGAGTGTAAGAAAAGACTCTTATACCCACTCTCACACTTTGAACCCTTTAAAAAATTCTTGCAATCTCATAAGACCTTCCTTATGAGCTTAAACACCATTACAATCCCCACCACCCTATCGGAGGATTACTCAA